AAATGTAGGTCTTTTCCTTCTATGAAAAAGCTTAGAATGTACCTTTTTATTTCAGGTGGAAAACACATTGGGGTGATGATAGTAAGCAGCATTTAAGTTTATATACAGAAAATGCCTTGAAAACACTTATCTTTTTATATCAAGTATGATATAAAAGATAACATTGCTCAAGAAATGTTACAAAAATGGCCTCTATGTGCTTCTAAGTGAGAAAGACATTGACTGTTGAAATAAATCCTCAGTCAATCAAATCTTTATTTTTTTTTCTTTTTAAAGAAAAATAAAAGAATACAATTGAGAATCTCTACCAGCTAAGCAATTTTTTTTTTGTTTTTGTTTTTTGTTTTAGATGAGGGTTTTTTTTTTTATTTTTCTTCTGTAAAATACTGTGTGACTTCTAGACAAAGTAATCACCATCAGTTTGAGGAAGAAGAAAAATTTTTTTTTTTTGAGGAAGAAGAAATTTTTATAAGATATATCTAATGGAGTTCCAGTTATTAGATGGATTTAAAGTGACACAAAAAGCTATTAACAAAACTGTTCTTTGTTAGAAGACATTCAATAACTAGATTGTCTATAACAAGATTATCTTGTGAGATAAACCCCATATTTGGACTATGATAAAGTAGCATGGTGATAAACTATAGAGGCAAGAGTGTGAACAAATTGATAGGGAAGGTCAAAATAGTATGTTCCTCAATACTCATAACTTTCCATTTCTGTGTGCTTTCTATGTTACTTAAAATCACTCAGCTTATTTGTATACTCACCCTTATTAAGCCATTTACTTCAGACTTTACTGGACTTTAGACTATTTACTTATAAACTGAAAACAATTCTTCCTTCCTTTCTTAGTTTCTCACTAAAGATTAAGTGACATATACTTCTTATTATATGTTGTGAAGCTGGGGAGCTCGACTCAATTTTTCACATATTTTAACTGCAACTTCATTTAAGAAAAGAATCAGCAATCAGTAAAGGGGGAAACGAGGGCAAATATTCTAATTTCTATGAAAATTTTAATATGAAGTTAAGGGATTGATCTATTAACTGTCAGAAATGATGGTAACTTTACATCATACACAAAGATAAACTAAAAGTGGATTCGAGACTTGAACATAAGACCTGAAACCACACAACCCCTAAAAGCAAACAAAGGTGGTAAGCTCCTTGATCATGGTCTTGGTGATGATTTTTTAGACTTGACACTGAAAGCTAAGGCAGTAAGAGCAAAAATTTTAAAGTGGGACTTTCTCAAACTCAAAAACATCTTCTGCACAATAAAGGAAACCATAAGGAAATTAAAAAGAAACCTATCAAATAGAAGAAAATACTTACAAATTCTCTGATAGGGGTTAATACCCAAAATATATGAAAGCACTCCTACAACTCACAGCAAAAACTAATGATCTGATTAAAAGATGAGCAAATGGGGGCACCTGGGTGGCTCAGTGGGTTAAGCCTCTGCCTTCAGCTCAGGTCATGATCTCAGGGTCCTGGGATCGAGCTCCACATTGGGCTCTCTGCTCAGCAGAGAGCCTGCTTCCTCCTCTCTCTCTCTCTGCCTGCCTCTCTGCCTACTTGTGATCTCTGTCTGTCAAATAAATAAATAAAATCTTAAAAAAAAAAAAAGATGAGCAGATGATCTGAATAGACAGTTTTTCAAAGAAGACATACAGATGATCAATAGGTACATGAAAAAGTGCTCAACATCACTAATCATCAAAGAAATGCAAATCAGACACACTATGAGATATCACCTCACACTTGTTAGATTTGCTATAAGAAAAACAGATATTAGAGAGGATGTGGACAAAAGTAAACACTTGCAGTATTGATGGGAAATAGGTATAGCCACTGGGGAAAACAGTACAGAGGATCCTCAAAAAATTAAAAATGGAATTATTCAATAATCCAGCAATTTCACCTTTGGGTATTTATCCAAACAGAATAAAAATTAAGTCAAAAAGATACACACTCCCCTACTCATTGTAACATTTATTTACAATAGCCAAGACATGAAAACAGCCTGAGTGTCCAATGATAGACGGATGAATAAAAGAAAGTGGCACATACGTATACACATGCGCACACACACACACACACACAGACACATATACACAGTGGAATATTATTCAACCATTAAAATGCGAGGCAATTATGCCAACTGTGGTACCATGAATAGACCTTGAGGACACAAGTGGAAGAAGGTAGAAAGAGAAAAACAAAACTGTATTGTTTCACTTACACATGCAATCTAAAGAACAATAACAATATCACAGCAACTTATAGATGCAAAGAACAGTTCAGTGGTTGCCAGGGGCAGGTGGTAGGGGGTGGAGCACAGGCAAAATGGGTAAAGCCATTCAACAGGTACAAACTTCAGATTATAAGTTCTAGGGAAATAATGTACAGCATGGTAACTATAGTTAATAAAAATGTATTATAAACGGGGTGCCTGGGTGGCTCAGATGGTTAGGCATCTGCCTTTGGCTTACGTCTTGATCTCCAGGTCCTGGATCAAGCCCCACATCAGGCTCCCGACTGGCTCGTGGGAAGCTGTTTCTCCCTCTCCCCTTGTTTGTATGTTCTCTCTGTCTCTCTCTCTCTCTCTCAAATGAGTAAATAAAATATTTAAAAAAAAATAACATTATATATTTGAAATTTGCTAAGAGAGATCTTAAAAGTTCTCTTCACTAGAAAAAAAATTCCAACTGTATGGTAATAGATATCAATTAGATTTATTGTGGTGATCACTTTGTAATATGTACATGTATCCCATCACTATGTTGCACACCTGACACTAATATATATCAATTACATAACAACTGAAAAAAAAAGAATTGAAGAACTCAGTTAAAAGGTGTATACTACTAGATGTAAAGACTATGAGGCTACAGTATTCAAAACAATGTGATAGAGACGCACAACAGGCAGACAGCAGTGCAGCAGAACTAAGTGTCTAGATTTAGATCCACATATACATAATCATCTAACTCAAAGCAAAATCACTACTACCATGAAACAGTCTTCAAGGTAAATGATGCTTAATCAAAACTTCCATTTAGGAAAAAAGGAAGTACATGTTAAATTCTACCTCACAGAATACCCAACAATCAAGACAGATGGACCACAAATTTAATGAATTTAAGGAAATTTAATGAAATGTCCAACAATAAAACTTCTAAAAAATAACACACAAAAATATCTTTGTGACCTTGGAGTAGGCAGAGACTTCTCTTAAATAGGACACTTAACCATGAAAAGCACTAACCCTAAAGGAGAAGTTTGGTAAGTTGAACTGCCTTGAAATTAAGAGATCATTTTCATTAAAAAACAAATACACAAACAAAACAGCAAATGCAAATACCAGATATAGAGTGGAGAAAGTTTTTTGTACTACATAAACCTGAGCTAGTACTTGTATCCCATACATAAAGAACATCTCCAGTAAGAAAGGACAGATAATGATAAAAATAAATATAAGACATGAAAAATAGAAGAGATTCAGGTTTCCAGGATGCATATTAAAAGGTGACCAACTGAATTAGTTGTCCAAGAAGTGAAAATTAATACCCGTGATCTACCACTACACACCCATGAGAATGGCTAAAGGACTTAACAATACCAAGAATGGAGAACAAGTGGAATACTCCTAAAATACTGGTGAAAGTGTAAACTGGTACAAACACTTCCAGAAAACTTACTTACAGTACCCACTAAATCATTACCTCCGATCCATTATTTAAAAAATTGTCGTATCATATATGAAGTATATCTAACAGTTTTGAAAAACAATACCATTATATCAATGTAAACATTTTATGGATGTTGGTTAGTTTTTAGAATTTAGTGATCATAAATTTCAAAAACATTAGAAAAGAGAGGAAAATATAACAATTAAGAATAACCTACTAGTATCTACTAATATCTTAAAATAGTTCTTTCCAGTATTTTTTTCTAATTGGAGAAATATTACATTATAATGTTTACTTTAAAAATGATGACCATGCAGTAACTTTAACATGTAGTGATATATCTTTCATCACGTCTCTACTTTCTAAGAGTATTTTATGTGATAATTATTTTATTTTGGATATGTATGAAACTTACCCATTTTAAAATGTAAATAAAAAAATATGAGTAGAATTACTGCAACATAGACTACAAACATTTTAAAGGTATGCAGCATTTTACAAAATTATACTTTGTTAAATTTATAACCAATATTTATGCCACTCAGCAATGTATATGATAGCATGTTCTCAACACTCTAACCATAAAAAACAACCAATTGCTAGCTATATATTTTTATTTACATTGTTTCTTCTTAGAAATGGACTCTGTTTTTGTGACCCTTTATAGCTTACTTCTATGTTTTGAGAATGATCAATGTTCAATTTACTCACTGGTGGTCACTATTGTTATGTAAATGACTGGTGAGAGTCCTTTACAAACTATGGATATTCATCTTTCTTGTGATATTTCATGTAGGTTTTATTTCTCAATTTGTGGTTCTTTTTACATTTTTTTAATGTAACATAGTTGTGATGGCTTATTACTGTCTCACCTTAGTTAGGCTGGAAATGTTTTCTTTTTTTTTTAAAGATTTTATTTATTTATTTGACAGACAGAGATCACAAGTAGGCAGAGAGGCAGGCAGAGAGAGAGAGAGAGAGAGAGAGAGGAGGAAGCAGGCTCCCTGCTGAGC